GGCCTTCTGGCTCGTTGAATCACAGACTTTGCCGATCTGTCGACATTCAGACTGTGGCAGGTGACCTCGGGGTCAATGCCAGGCATTTCATAAGGTGTCAAGGCGAACGCCTCTATGTTTGCCCTTAAAAAATCTTCCAGTTCTTTTTCCTCTTCTCTAGCTAAGCCTGAGCCGAGAAGAAAAAATCGGTCTTCGTCGTCCTCCTGGACAAGGATTTTCTTTAGCGCCTCTTCGCTTTTCTTGGCTGGTTCTTTCCCGACATCTTCTAGGACTTCCATGTCCTCATCTTCAACTTCTGCTTTTTTTGGCTCCCGTATACTACAGGTGGATTTTATTACTGCCATGGAGCAAGTTTTGGCTTGTAGTTGATCCCCTCTAACTTCTTCAATCCCATGCTCTGTTGGGAACCGGAGTAGTTGGTGCAACGTCGAGGGAACTGCCCCCATTGCATGCAACCACGGCCTTCCTAAGATGATGTTGTATGGTAAGGGTGTGTCAATTACCAGGAATTCCGTCCTGATCTTCTTAGTGCCGGCTTGTACTTCTAAGCTTGTTGCACCCAGTGGCCATGTTCGTGTTCCATTAAAGCCGACCATCGGGCCGCTTGATTGTTCTAGGTCATCGGGGTGAAGGCCTAGCTCTTTGTAACATTTGACATACATGATGTCACAGGAGCTGCCTTGATCTATTAGGATGCGTTTTACTTGGAACTCCCCAACTTGGAGGGATACTACCAAGGCATCATTATGCGGATGTTGGACTAGTTCTAAGTCGGCTTCAGTAAACGCTATCATTGGCCCTTGGCATTCTTCTGGCCGATGTCTCTTTTCCCCGACTTGGTAGATGTGTTGTAAATGTCTTACCCTCTGGGTTTCTCCTCTGACTTCGTTTTCGTTGACCCTTGAGTGGATCATATTAACTACCCTCGGTTCTCCTGCTTGTGGTAGCTGTGCTGGGGGAGGGGGTGCTGCTGGTGCTTGAGGCAACCTTGCCTGCTCTTCCATTGTTCTGGCCTCATCGACCAGGTCCCTCAGAAGGCCCTGTCTTACCAGGTCCTCCAAGTGTACTTTTAAGGCTCTGCAACCTTGAGTTGGATGCCCTTCTTCATTGTGGTAGGCACAACATCTACCAACGTTCCTTCCCATGAATTTCCCCGGTGCTCTTGCCGGGGCCCTGAAATAAGGTTGATTTCGAATTCGATCTAAGATTTTATGGATTGGGATCCGGAATACCGTGGTTACCGCCTGTTTATTTCTTAATTCTATTTCTTGTTTGGTCGGCCCATTGTTGACTCGGCCTCGCTTTGGCGAGCCGTTTCCTTTTTCTTGTTTCACCTCTTTGTTTCCCGATGTATCTTCTTCGGCCCTGGCATATTTCTCAATTCTTGCCATGAATTCCTCCATGCTTTTTGGCAATGTTTTTGCCAAGGACTTCCATAGTGGGCAGTCATCTTTCAGGCCGTTCTTAAAAGACACGACTGCTACTTCCTGGTTGCATTCGGGTATTCGGTTGAACACCTCGTAGTACCTCTTCGCATAGGCCCTAAGGCCTTCTTCCTTGGTGATTCGTAGAGCCATCAAAGCATCAACCCTCAGGGGTTGCAGCTTTTTGGTCACGAACCTGGCCACAAACATCTCGGCCAAGCCTTCCCATGTTTTTATGCTTCCTTTTGGTAACTTATGGCACCAATCAGATGCAATTTCCCCAAAGGATGAGGGGAATACTTTGCAAAGCAACGGCTCGTTCCCGCTATATAATGCCATTTGTTATCCCAGTTAGGCAACCCAAGAGGGGGGGTGAATTGGGTTATTTGAAACCTCGGCATACTGAATCCCTTGGGCGGTTCGAATTTGCCCAGTTCCACCGAGAAGGCTGTCTTCGGTTTTACTGGGGAGTTTACCTCGGCTTCTGCATTCTGTTGCCTCCTCTTGAGGTAGTCCCTTAAGTCTTCTTTGCTCCTCCCTGGAGCTCGGCTGTCTTTGGATTTTAATCTTTTTTGGCACACTACTTTCGGCCTCGAGGTGGGTCCGTTTGGGTCTTTCTTCCTGGGTTGTGTCAAAGTGGAGTACTTGCCCCTGAACATGTCGATGTTCTTTGGGGTCTGAATTCTTCATGTGGTGCGTCCTTCGGGACTCTTCTTGCCTCGGCTTTTCCCGTCCGACTTCCCTGGAAGACCGGTGAGAATGCCTTCCGCTCCTGGTATGCTGAGGGACTTCGGGGATTGTTTTTCCTCCACCCTTCTGGGTATTGGTTGCTGGTATCGGTGTGTCTTGCAGCGGGTAGGGTGGCTGCATAACATTATTCTGCATCATGAAGTTGACGACTGACTGAAGGTCCGACAACTTGTTCGCCAGTTCTTTTACTTCCTCATCCCTTCGTAGGCATATGTCCCTCCATACCTGGAGGTTATCTTCATTGTAGTACCTTCCTTGGTTTGCTCTTTTTGACGTGTCGCCTTCCAGGTTTACGTCGTTCTCTCTGTGGCCCTGGCCACGGGTTTCTGAATTGTGGTTGTCTCCTTCAATGTCGAGGTCAATTGGTCTGCCACTCGCAGTGGGAGCGTCATCCCCAATATTTTCCTGCTGTCCGTTACTGGCCATCTATTCTTCCTTCGTTCCCACAGACGGCGCCAAATTGTGTGGGTGAAAATCTGACCACACTGCCCGTTTAGTGATCAGCTGAAGAGTACAAGCAGAATAGATGGCTTAAGCAACCTGAAACAGAAAGAAAAAAGCTCCGGCGGTGGTTCTTCCACCCGGGGGCACTCCGACGATCAAGTCAGTATATCTCTCAAGGATAATCAAGTACTAGACTGAATACTCAGAATATAAATTACATACCTTAGACCCACGGGGGTGCCTCTCTTTTATAGTATACTCAATCCAAGTCCCATTGGAAGTATGACTTCTATGAACTCTAATTTACTGTTTACTCTGGACTCTTTTAAGAGATAAAGATAAACTCCCTAAGAGTTTTATCCTTATCTTGGTTCAGTCCCCTTTGTGCCTTAGGACTCTCGCCCCTTATCTCGGACTCCGATATCTTCGGAGATAACCTCGGCTTCTCCGAGATTACCTCGGCTTAACTACCAGACCACGTGGTACCTCGGCTGACACGTCGGCGTCACCATGCCACGTGTTGGTATCCAGAAAATACATCCCCACAACTGCCCCCTAGGTTCTATTACCTAGGCATTCTGAGGTGATGGAACCTATTCCGAAATTTTGTCACTTCTTTCCTGAGTAATGGCTCAAAAACTATTTGGCCCAGATTATCTACTTTCAGCCGACTTGTTCTCTTCGGAGAACAAGGCTTCGGTCGTACTCTCCCACGCGCATAAGCTGTCATGCATATCTAACTGTTTCTTTTGCGTGTTTCGTCTTCATTGGAGCGTGTCAGTGACGCGCCTGAAGCTGTCTGTTCGTTCGTCTGCGCCGTCTGACGCGTGCGTTACCCTAGGCGTAATGATTGCCCTAATTTTGCCGCTGTTTCATATTTTTGACAAAACTTTCCTTTTGCCTCTATCTTTTCTTCACTTTTTCATTCCGTCTTTTTGCTCTTTCTTTCTCTGAAAGCTCATTCTTCTTCGAATCTGCCATTGCTTCAATTTTTCTTCTGGAAAAATCCCTCTTTGCTGTTGCAATCAATTTCTGGGTTCGGCGAGCACTGCCTCGGCTTCATTTGTCCTGGTAAGACCCTTTCCTTTAATTCTTTCATTCGCTTTATGTGCTTTTGTCTGTCTGTTGCCATTACTGATCTTGTTCGAGGTCTTGGTTTTATCTGTATCTTGAATTTGTGGCCATGCCTTGAACTTCTATGTTTTTCCATTATTCTCTTTACCGCTGTTCTTGATTTGCTTCTGTATCTCTATTGTTTCTGAGAACTATACTTCTATTCTTGAATCTGAAACTTCGTCTTTGCTTTCTCTTTTTTGTGTCTGCCCCAGATTTTTATCTTCATACTTCGTAGATTTGGGAGTTGTCTGTAGAACCCTTAATCTTTAGGGAAACCTGAAAAACGCCCATTTCCTGAAACATATTCTTCTTAGTTTAAGCCGACATAATGGGTATGTGGAGGCATAGGGTAAATACCCCAACAAAACTTGAATACTTTAGGCAAGAATTCTCTATCCCAGCCGACGTTCATCTTAAGCTGGCTGGGGATAACGATACCATCGTGCCCACAGACCATACAATGCCTTTTCCAATAGTTGCCTTTACCGAATGTGGACTTCGGCTTCCACTTGATCCCCTTTTTCGTCAAGTTCTCCATTTCTATAAGCTGAACCCCATGCAACTTACTATCAATTCCTATAGGGTAATTAACGGTATCATAGCCTTAGCTAGGCAAGAAAACCTTAGAATCACCCTAGCCGACCTTCAATATTGTTATACCATGTGCCCTCTTGATCTGAAGGATAGGGGTTTTGTCTATTACCTTAAGCCGAGATCCACTCAATACAAAATTATAGCCGACCTCCCAGACTCCAACAAGGGGGCTGGAGATGATTTTCTCATTGCGTCTGGAAATTGGGAATTTGGCCCAGAGGAAGACGTCCACCTGTACCCTCTTCCTTGAACAATTACAGAGGGCAAGAGTAAGAGCCCTGAGTCAACACTTTGTTGTTTTTATTTAAGACTTTAATACCTTTTGTTTCTGACGTCTGTTTCTTTGCAGATCTTCATCAGCCACTGAAGAATTTTCGTCAATCCTTCTTCCCAGGAACAGATCTGAGAACACTTCTTGGCCTTCCAATCCACAAACGAAAAGCCCCAGTATTACTAAACTTCATCCCTACATACAAATCCACCTTACCCGACGTCCCAAGAAAAAGGAAGAAGAGTCTCTCTCCACCCACAGCCACAACCTTAACTGCTTCTATATCCCGAACAGATCAAGAGTCCACATCTGACCCAGCCGATCTTCCATCAACTTCGGCCCCCTACTTAATACCAATTGCTGAACGTAAACGTCGAAGAAAGCTTGTAAAGACTGCCGAAATGGTTCGTCCAAGGCCCGTTGTCCAAGACCTTCTTGCCGATCTCCCAACTGACGCCGAAGCCGCACCAACGCAATCTATGCTCCCACCCAAACCAATGAGAGTTAAAAAGGCTCAGCCTAAGGCCAAGGTTACAGATGCCGAGGCTGAGGATGCTCTGCCGATTTCGAAGCTTGCTGAAAGCAAAAAATCAGCCTCTACTTCAACCAAGAGGTCTGCTGAGGGCCAACCCTCAGGGTCTACACAAACAAAGAGGCCAAGATCATCATCTGCGACGACTACGGCTTCAAAGAAGCCCGACGTCCCCTGGGCCCCTGATCTATCCCTAGAGGATAGGCCCATTATGGCTAGTGAGAGTGCTGACGACATTAATGTTGCTGTCGCCCTTAGTACTGCTCTCCTTCTACCAAATGACTTGGAGCGAAATGCCAAGCTTAGCGAGTATGAAAATTATGCTCTTATGCTTCAACACTCTGCTCAAGTAAGTATTTCTGTTTGTATTTGTGTTTTTTCCTTCTGTTTCTTCCTGAGAAAATTTTCTGACACTTCTGTTTTCATTTAGGCTATCCAGCATGCCCATTCATTTTCAATGCAATCCTTTGAAAGTCGCCAAAGATTGGTTGATATGAAGAGGGAAGCAACTTCAATGAAGAGAGAAATAAGGGCCCTTGAAGCAAAAATGAAAAAACTGGAGGATCAGGCCGAGGCTGCAACGAAAGTTCAAACTTTAGCTCTTGAGAAGGCCGAGGCTGCTGAAGCTGTTAAAAAAGTAGCTGAAGCCGAGAAAAGAGAGGCTGAGGCTAGGAAGGCTCAAGCGGAGAAAGAACTCCAGCAGGCTCTGGCCACCAAAGAGGCCGAAGTCAAAGAGGCCGATGAAAAGGCCTATGCTCAAGGCATGGCCGACGTCGCAGAAGACTACAAGCTTCAAGTCAGGCAGGCATGCAACAGGGGATTTTCCCTTGGTTGGATGTCCCTGATAAAGAAGCTTGATCTCCCTGTTGACTCGCCCCTTCGGAATGCTGATGCCATCCCCTTGCCATTTCCCCCACCTCCACCTGAAGGCGAACCAGAATCTGATGCTGAGGATGAAGATAAGGAGGTCAATGAAGAAGCCTTGGTGAGAAAACCCAAGGATGCTGCCGAAGCCAAGTCCCCTCCTCCTGCTGAGCAAGTTATGGACTTAACTCAAGATGAGGGGGGTGGTGATGCTGAGGAAGTGCCCAGGGAGTCTGTTCAAGGGTATCTATCATCTGACCTCCTTCTGACTGAAAGAAGTCTTGACACAACATTGGCAGAGATAGACGCTGAAATACAAGCGGAGAAAGTGGCCGAGGAGATTCCACCTGAGTCGTCCGAGGTCCCCGTTCCTGTAGTGGCCAATACTGAAGAATCTTGAAAGTGTCTTTTTGTACCTTTTTTCCTTATTTTTCTGTACTTTGTACTTTGTACTTTTTTATTTTCTGGATAATGCAAAACTCCTTCTTTTGGCCGATGTGGTTTCTTTAATATGTAACTGCAACAGTTCCTCCCCTGGATGTTTTAGTCATGTGATATTCTGTTGACTGCTTCTGCATAGTCTTGTACTTAGAAAATTTTTTTGCATGCTTCCTTATGTTGCTTTCTTTGTGCGATCTTCTCGGGGTTACATACCTCGGGTATAACCATAAAAACTTTTATTTCGGCAAGATACTGACCTGCAATCTTTTCATAAATTTCAACAAGTATAGAACATATATTTTCGAATGTAAACTTAGTCTTAGTCTTACCTACTTGTAAATTGCTACAAATTTCAACAAGTAGTGAACAATATACTTAGCTTTTACTTTAACCTGTAACTTTCTGTATACCTCAGCAGGTGATCATACGTCGGCTTAACATAAACTTGTAAATTGCTACAAATTTCAACAAGTGTTAAGCATCTTCTCTAGGGTTTAAACAACCCACATATTGCTATGAGAACTTTAAGCAATAACCTCGGCCTATCTTTGACTTGTAAATTTCAACAAGTGAAGATAAGGAATCAGTTTAATTCCGACTTGTAATTTGCTACAAATTTCAACAAGTGAATTAAGGAATAACATCGGCTTAACTTCAACTTGTAAATTGCTACAAATTTCAACAAGTGAAGAGAACTAGTAATCTCGGCTTAACTTCAACTTGTAAATTGCTACAAATTTCAACAAGTGAAGAGAACTAGTAATCTCGGCTTAACTTCAACTTGTAAATTGCTACAAATCTCAACAAGTGAATTAAGGAATAATCTCGGCCTAGCTTTGCCTGAGTTTGATATGTCTTCAATAAACATCCATGCATAACTTTATCAATCATACACGTTGAAAGGATTTGGAAAAGACTTTATTGATGATATCGGCTAAACAATGATGTTTATCTAATGGTAGAAAAATTTCAAATTACAAGTATTCCAAGGTCTGGGCAATGCTTTGCCCTCATTGTCCTCAAGCCGATATGCTCCATTGCCAAGTACTGAAGTAACTCTGTAGGGTCCTTCCCAGTTTGGGCCAAGCTTGCCCTCCCTGGGATCCTTCTTGTTCCCGACGACTTTTCTTAGGACTAAGTCGCCAACTTGAAAATCTCTTGGATTGACTCTCTTGTTGTAAGCTCTGGCAAGCTGTTGTTGGTATACTGCGAGCTGAATTGCAGCCTTCTCTCTTCGTTCTTCCAATAAATCCAGGTCTCGGGCTAAGAGTATGTCATTGGTGCCATTCTCTACTCCCTGGGTTCTGATCCCTGGGATGCCGATCTCCAATGGGATGACTGCTTCTGTGCCATATGCCATGGCGAATGGGGATTCTCCTGTTGATCTTCTCGGCGTAGTCCGATATGCCCAAAGTACGTTGGGCAATTCGTCCACCCACTTTCCTTTTGCTGCCTGGAGCCTCTTCTTTATTCCATCCAGGATTACTTTGTTGGATGCCTCTGCTTGCCCATTGCTTTGAGGAAAACTTGGTGTTGAGAAATAATTCTTGATCTTGAATTTTGCACAAAAGTTTTTGATAAGTTTGCTGTCGAATTGTGTTCCGTTGTCGGCAACTATTGCTCTTGGAATCCCAAATCTGGTAATTATGTTTCTCCAAATAAAATTCTTGACATCCACATCTCGGATTTTGGCAAGAGGTTCTCCCTCTATCCATTTTGTGAAGTAGTCCGTTGCTACCAGTAAATATTTTCTTTGCCCAGTTGCGGGAAGTTGTCCAACCAGATCCATGCCCCATTGGGCAAACGGCCAGGGCTGGATACTGGGTTTAGGTCGGCAGCTGGCTGATGTATCAAAGGTGCAAACTTTGACATTGTCACATTCTTTACATAGAGCTTCGGCATCCTTTTGCATGTAGGGCCACCAATACCCCTGGGTAATGGCCCTGTGGGCTAACGATCTGCCCCCTGCGTGGCTTCCACAAATTCCTTCATGAATCTCGTATAAAGAAATCTTCAACCTGCAAAGGGTGTACGCACCTTAAAAGTGGTCCAGTGAAGGACTCCTGTAGAGATGGCCTTCCGCTGTTAGACTGAATCTGGCCGATTTCAGCCTAATTTTATGTGCTTCTTTATGGTCTTCTGGCAGCTTCCCCTCTTTTAGGAATGCAATGATTGCATCCATCCAACTTGGTCCAAGGCCCACGCACATTGCTTCTTGTTCGATGCTTTGTTTATCTATGCTCGGGGCCGACATGTAGTCGATCATAATTGTCCTTGTTTTTCCAGTTTGAATTGAGCTGGCCAGTTGGCTAACGCGTCGGCGTGGGTGTTGTCATCTCGGCTTACTTGGAGTAATCTGCAGTTCTGGAATAGGGCTGCAGTCGGATGACTTCCTTTGCATATGCCGACATTCTTTCTCTCTGGCTGCAAATTCCCTGTTGACTGGTTAACAATCAATTGTGAATCACAAAAAACAATTACCTCGTCTGCCTCTGTGTGCTGCTAGCTTTAGCCTGCAATTAATGCTTCATATTCTGCTTCATTATTGGAGGCTTTGAACCCAGACGGATGGACTGTTCTACAATTTCTCCATCTGGAGATATCAGCAGTACTCCTGCTCCTGCTCCCTGGCGGTTTGAACTTCCATCGACGAATAGTCTGAATGAATTGCCGATGTAGATGCTGCATGGTCTGAGCTTTTCTTTCTCTTGCTTTTTTGTTTTGACTGGATTCTTTTTGCTTGTCGGGGCATGTCTCATCTTGGCTCGACGGAGCCTGAGGTGTATGGCTTCCGGTGTGAGTTCTGCGACGAAGTCGGCCAAAACTTGGCCCTTTATTGCTGTTCTTGGCCTAAATTCTAGGTCAAACTGGCCTAGTGTTACTGCCCATTTTGCTATTCTTCCTGTTAAGTCTCCTTGATGTAATAAGGACTTCAGTGGGTGCTCTGTTAGAACAATCTGTGTGCCTGAAAGTAATGGCTCAATTTCTTTGAGGCCATTACCAAGGCTAGCATAATTTTTCCAGTGGTAGGTACCTTGTTTCGCGTTAGCCAGAGTTTGCTTACTAATAGACGCCTTTTGTCCCCTTTTTCCTCTCGGATAGCACTGCACTGACTGCGTGTTCAGAGACTGCTAAGTACAAAAACAATTCCTCCCCTGGGATTGGGTTAGAAAGGACCGGGTGTGTGGTCAAGTACTTTTTTAGGTCGGCTAAGGCAGTTCACATTCTTCGTCCAAGGAAGTCTGTGGCTTTTTTCACCAGGTTAAAGAAGGGTCTGCACTTGTCTGAGCTTCTGCTGATGAATCGGTTTAGGGCTGCGGCCCTATGCCAGTAGAAGC